ACTTGAGAATATGAAGTGCATTGTGCTTCTACTTAATGTTCTTTATATTATGCACATATTCAGTTGTGTTTCCGGACAGGAAAAGAAGAAGGGTAAGCAAGGGACGGGGGGAAATGTACCATAACTTCCTCACAATAATAATTTACTTTCACACCTTTTACAAACCAGATTTCTGGAAGTAATTATCTTTTAATCATATACAGCCTTATTACAACCTTCTAAAGCAGATTAACTTGTTGGTTTTCCTGAACGCATATGCCAGGCAGTCAATTTACTAATTGATGATGAACTTATAGAGTAGAGACTTTGTAACTTGTTTTTCTTAATTTTATTATATCTAGCTAATAAATTCTGACCATTAGTCATCAGTTAATTGTTAAATATGGCCACTGTGCTGTACGGAGTATAACTATCTTCAAAATCATTATTATTTTCCTGTGTGAACTACTGAGCTTGATCACTGTTGGAATTCTTAATTTTCCACTGGAAGATTTTTAATGCCTTGGTTTTAAAGACTTCATTTTGGTAATTTGGTTGTCTTCTAAGGAATCCTTGTTTTTGAAATTGACTGATTAGATTTTTGCAATTGCCTTTTCAATGCTTGGCACATTAAAGGCTGTCTTTGTGTAATCTATAACTATTCCTCATTTCTTCCCCTGTTTTTATCTTTTAATGTATGAAAATTTAGAGGTGAGAGAATGTGTTGCATCTGACCCTTCCTATGCATTGTAATTACATCTGTAATTTTGTTGGTTTTTGGTTTGCATGCTACTGAATGGATTCTTTTGCATTCTCTTCTGTTTTAGGAGCGTAATTCTGGCAGATCACGTGGTTTCGGCTACGTCACTTTCACTTCTGATGATGATGCTAAGGTAGAGTAGCTTTATAATCTTAGAATTCCTTGATTTCTGCAAAAAGACTGCCTTTATATTCTTATGAGTTTTATTCTTAATCTGGTTCATCTTTAGCACTTTTTTCCCCCTCTTTGTACAGAATAACTGATTTGACCTGCTCTTTTCTGGGTTCAGAAAGCACTATCAAGCGAGCATCACCTTGGCAACAGAGTGCTGGAAGTAAAAGTGGCAACACCAAAGGTGCTTTTTTCTTGGCATTTATTGTTTTATCTTCCTTTTCTTTGGTCAAGTTGTCCTTCTACTGATCATGGAGTTAATTGCAGGAAGAAATGATGAGATCATCTTCGAAAAAGATAACCAGGATATTTGTTGCAAGAATTGCACCATCTGTTACTGAATCTACTTTCCGGAGGTGAATGTTATTAAGCCTGAGTTGAAAGTAGAATCACTTCTCATGAATATTTTCATGCTTTCTATATTTTTTATATTGATGAAACCAATTCACTCATATATATTGGTTTTCTAACTTTACCTCTTTTCCCTATTTTTCTTCCTTTCAGCCATTTCGAGAAATATGGAGAGATCACTGATCTTTACATGCCTAAAGTAAGTTTGTAGAGTTAATCTTTAATACTTCTTATGTACTAAGGCACTTAATGTTGAAATGCTAAACTTATTAATTTTTTTAAAAAAATGTTTAGGATCCCACCACAAAAGGCCATCGTGGAATTGGGTTTATTACCTTTGCTAGTTCAGGTAATTATATCAATTTTAACGGTTCCTTCTCATACATTTGTTCATTACGTTTGTTACAAATTTTTTTTTTTTTTGGGTGCAATTATGGCTTGACCATCTTGGTAGGATGCTATATTAGATTAAGATTTTGTGGGTTTGGCACTGTAGTATTTTAATTTTTCAAGTTAACTTTGTGCTAGTAAGGTATATCAAATTTTTTGAAGTGGTTTTACATTAAATTTCTTTTATATTTTTTTGGATTCTTCTAGATTTAGCAAATTTCTTGTAGTGGTTTTAGCAAGTTAATTCTTCTGGATTTGTCGAATTGTTGACTTACACTTAGGACAATAACATGTACTTGAAGGGAATAAGCTATGATTTGGGGTGAAACATGAATCTTCTTGAAGAGTCAAATGTAGTTGTAGGGTCAATATTTTTTGGTATCACTTTAAAGCAGTGATGATAATGATATCATCTTGCTGTAATGATGCATTTTGAAACCAAATTATAGAATTGCTAGAATTTTAAGGTATCTGTGTTGAATTGTTTGTTGCAAGTTAAGGTAACATGTAAATGATGTAATCAAGAAATATCAATCTTATAGTTTGTGTGGGAAATATAAGTTGTTAATTTTGGAATAAAATTTGCTGTTTTTTGGACGAATAATAAATTGTGTTAAATTGTTCTGCTTGATGCAGAATCGGTTGACAGCCTGATGAATGATACTCATGAATTGGGAGGTTCAACAGTAGTAGTTGATCGAGCAACACCCAAGGTAATATACACTTGTTTATTAGTTTTCAAATTAATTCTGATCCTTTGGTCTTTGGATTATGGTTATCAATGAATAATCCATGGGTGGTGACTGGTGGGAGGATTAGAGTGAGAAAGGGGATGGTTTTAGGATGATTGTGAGTCACTGAATGATCTTGCTCTATTTGTCACCCTTTTCTCTCTTTCTTTACTATCCTGCCTGGTTATCTATCACCATGCTCTTAACTCATAAGGCTGTTGAGTCCTATGTTGGAACAGCAATTCCTTCTCCCCTTTGTTTATAAAAAAATTATTTGACCTGTTTTGTTCAATACCCTTGCCAATGTGTAACTTTTAACTACTAGTATTCTAAGTTTTTTTTTTTGGAAGACAGTATTCTGAAGTATCAATATGCAAACATTGTATAAAAATAATAATAATAAATAAATAGATATTATGGTAGTGTTTATTGAGACAATTCTAACAAAATCTCACATGACTATGCTTTTCCTTATGTATAATTCACAAAAAAGGTTCAAAAGAGAGTATGAATAGTGCAGAATTCAAACTAGATCAAGTAAAAAATAACAGAGGAATCTTTTATTACTTCTGCATTTCAACTGACTAGAATTTGTTTAATATTGTTTCAGGATGATGATTTCCGGCCATATAGCAGAGCTCCTCCTCAAGGTGGTCACGGTGGTCGTGGAGGCCATGGTGGTCATGGAGGGCCCGGAGGATATGGCGCATACAATGATTACATTAGTGCTGCTACAAGATATGCAGCACTTGGTACTCCTACCTTGTATGATCATCCAGGTTCTCTTTATGGAAGTAAGGCCCACTTTACCTGTTTCACTATTCTTATGCATGTTCTTGAACTACTAAGTGAATTCTAATACAATGATACTTTTATGATAATAACAGGGGAGCCCATTAGAGGAATTGGGAGAAAGATATTTGTTGGAAGGCTTCCCCAGGAAGCAACTGTGGATGATCTTCGCCAATATTTTGGAAGATTTGGTCGCATTTTGGATGTCTACATTCCAAAGGTAAACTTCATTTCCAATTTTCCATCACTGAAGTGGTCATTGTTTTCTGGAAACTTTGCTGAGCTAAAGAATAACTTCTTGGTGTAGGATCCCAAGAGATCTGGGCATCGTGGTTTCGGCTTTGTAACTTTTGCTGAAGATGGTGTTGCTGATAGGGTGGCTAGACGGTCTCATGAAATTTTAGGGCAGCCGGTAAGCAATGGAAACTCTTTAACTACTTTTGCATTGACGTTTGGATGACGATTACTGTCAGTTCAAGGGGGGGGGGGGGTTTAGTACATACCAGAGTATGGATCTTGGAATTTTAAGCATTATATTGTATATAATCTGCTGATTACATTCCTTGCTAGCTACCTCAAAATGCTCGATGACAGTTTCAGTGACATCGAATATCCTAATATTGGATTCTTTTTGTACTTGGATATAATAGCTTCTCTAGTCTTCTCACGCTTAGATTTATTCTTGAGCTACATATTTCCATATTAATTTCTCTCAGTATGTATTGATCAAATCTATAACGTTTATTAGCTTTTGAAATCACTACACTTGTTTGTATGTCTTATTTCTCCCTGTCTACCCTAAATGATTATTATTGGCACTTAAGCAGTGAAAGTGTCAAGGTAACCAGACATTTTGATGTTTAGAAATGTCTGAGAACTTTGTTAGAGCATAATATATTAACCTTGATTTCTAAATTGCAGGTTGCCATAGATTCAGCTACACCCGTTGACGATGCTGGTCCTAGTGGAGGTCTGCTGATAGACAATCCTGAACCATATGGAGGTTATGGTCCTGTTCGTAGTAGTTATGGAAGAATGTATTCCAGCCTGGATTTTGATGATGTGAGTATGACTTTACTGTCAACCAATATAATCTATGATCCTGGAGCTAACCTCTTATTCTTATAACTGTGGGTGAAATTCATTAGTTATATGTGGATTTTGTGGTTTAGCTGTGTTGCATTCTGTCTTTTTACATAATAATGCATATACTGCAGAATGTTATCTTCAAAAGTGTGATCTTGCCACTTTAGAGAGCTTTTCTGCTCCTAGAATATTGTACATATGCTAATGTGTTCTCTTCTGCACAGTGGGGTGGAGGTTATGGCTTCCAGAGCAGTTCAAGGCCTTCCAGAGCAGCAGATTGGAGGTACCGACCATATTAAAGTGGTGTCCTAAAGACAACCTAAACCTGATAGCTGATAGATTTCTGGGAGGTGGTTCGACCGTTTGTCAAGCAAGTAGAGTTGGTTTGTGAACTTACAGACTTTTCTAGAGCATTCTGTTCGGTTCAAGTAGTTAGATGGCAATTCTATTAAGATGTTCATTAGGTTTCTGAAGTCACCCTATCATATGCTTTAGCTGAATACATATATATTGAATGGGTTGATTTGTAAACCATCTATGTTCTGAAAGCTGCAACTTTGCTGCAATTTGAGCTCCTCTGTGATTTGCCGATTTGGGTCAATTTGTTAAGACTCTACGGGTGAAAGGTTTTATAATGCTTTATGATTGATTGATAAAGAATTGCTGCAGAACGATGTAATTAAGGCAATGGCTTGAAGCAAAGTCTTAAATACATATGACCAACTAGATTGGCGACAAAAAGGAACGAAGTAGTTATCTTTTCGTGAACAAGTTCAACCCGTCTCCACATTTTTGGTATCGCAACTCAAGCTACTTCAAGAATCGTATGTCAAAGAACACAGAACTAGGACCATATTATAAGATTATGGAATTGTCCTCTTTTGGGACTAATTGACATTCAAATGTTAAATATACACGAGATAAGTACACCCATTAACATAATACACAAAAGATAATTAGTCAATGAGGGTAGTATTTGAACAAATCTTGGGAGCCCAACATAGTAGAATTAACATAATCTTGAGGATTATGGTTGATGAAATCTGGAAATATGATGCCAACGTACCTGAGCCCAATAAGAAACCAGCCCTCTTTATAATATGGGCCTGCTGTGATTCCAATTATAAACCCTCTTATCAGCTCCCACTTTGCATTTAATGTTTTTAGTATGAAAACCATGAATGACTTCACTATTTCACTCGGCTTTCTCAGTATTTTGATCATAATATTTACTTCCTTTTCATCTTTCTTGATTGCTTCTTCTTCAACTATCTGCATCAAGACATGTAAAATTTCATGTGTATTAAACTATCTATTCAACATTATTATGTATTATTCATAGGAGTGATGATGTGAACCTACTACAACGGAATTAATAGTTATATATATGGAAGTTTGGAGTATTATTTTTGAATGACTAGAAAGATGGTAAAATGAGGCTTTTGTTTATACTGGACATAGTCTATGATTAATTTTTCAGAAATTTTTAATTAAGGGAGTTTAGGATGATATGGCACTTTCTACAACTTTTAATATATACAAGAGTAATTGGAATTAACTATTCACTAAAAAATTACATGTGCAAAAAACCTTTGTCCTAAGATCTTCAAAGTTCATGAATCACAATGACTTGAGATTTTTATAAAATTATTTTCCTAGCTTCCTTAAATTCCAATAATTGGAGTTTTATCAACTTCTTATAATATATGAATTCTGGGAATAAAACTTATTATTTGAATGGACTTTACCAACTCCTTATAATTCATACAGATAATTAAAAATGATCGCAATTATACCTTGACATACATACATACAACTACAATTTCTTTTTTTTTTTCTTTTTATTTATTTTAAATCTACTCAGTAAGATTAAGAGAGAAAACTTACGCATACCTTTCCACAATAGAAGCTGTTAAAGTGGATGGATGTCCCAAAGTGCTTGAATTTCATCCAGGCATTATCAAAGGGAAGCTTAGGCACAATATCATAGCCATAAACAATCCTATAATACTTAATATTAAACTCTCTTAATTTCTTTTTCATAAATTTCCCAAATTCAGCATTTCCAACTCTTGGTTGACCAAAAGTATAAATAGCCTCCATTCTATCTAATAATTCAACTTCTCCATGATAAGCCAATATTGCTGGAAATAATATTGCAAGTGCACCCCCTAAACTGTGACCAGTAACAATAAATTTTGCCCTTTTATTTTCTGCCATAATTTCTTTTAATTTATCTCTAATGACATAATAAGCTATAGGTTTTTCAGGGTCTTGCTCAATTTGGCTATTAGGAAAATCACATTTATAATCTTCATCTAATAAACTAAATTCCCTTAGACCCAAGGCTATCATGAAACCCCTATGAGTTCTTCCCATTCCATCTATATTGCACCATGAGTAATCGAAGTCGGTGCTCCAATCATATGCATCTGTGGTTCCTCTGAATGCTACAATGAATTTATCATCTTCTGCAGTTCCCTCGCGCATTATGAACGCTTCAGTTGTTTTTCTCTTTAGATTTTCTGTCAGCATCAAGTTTTAATTTAATTTTAAGGATGACTACCATACAATTTTCAAGTAAATCGACAAATAAACTACTACATATTCAATTTCTCTAGATAGTTTACAAAAAGGCGTTCATTACGTAAAATATAAGTTGCATATATAACATTGATTGATCGTCTTACCATTGTAACACTTGTAGAATTTCACAAACTCCATCTGCATGAGCGTGAAAAAATTAAGGACATGATTTATAAAAAAGAATCATGCCACAATTCAGCATAATATAAATATAAATAAATTATAATTTCATCTAGCTAATACTCGTACGTTATACTCACATTCCAATGACGAGAAACAACTTTTTTAATAAAAAGTTCATTTTCGTAGGCTATTTTAGCTGCCATCATTGAAAGTGCGGGATAATATCTCGCATCTCCATGCTTAATATCCTTGTTGAGATCCATTCTAGTGTCAATATGTCCAATGACAGAGAGATAATCTTCGCTTTCTTCATTTATCAACCTTTCTTTTTTTCCTGTTTCAAGAATCATATAGTAAATGAGAATTCTATATACTCCGTATAAAACATATATAAATTCACACAATATGATTACATGTACTCCTTCATCTAAATTAATTTTAGGATGTTCAAAGAAGGATTTTGTGGCTAATATTTCAAATATGCCGTTACTTAAATATTGTCATCATGACAAGTAGTTGATGCAATTGAGAAAAATAGATATCAAACATTTTATTTGTAACGATAAGCCATATTGATCCTTGATGATTAAAAAAAAATAGAGTACTGTGAAAATTAACCCTAAACAAGGTGAACATAATTGCATACTTCGAAATATATTGCCATTGAAGATTTTTTCAAACATTGACCCAAACATCTGTATTAAAACTGCGATGATTATAAGAATTAATTGAGTCAGGAAAGAGAAAGCTCTCATCAACATATGGAAGCATTTGTTCTCTTTGTCGTCCTCCATGATATGATCTGCTTAGAAAAATTATAATGAAGTATAAAATGTAAAAATTTTACGAGGAAACTACTTAAGAAATTGAATATAGGGGAGAGGATAAAATATTTTCCTTCTGTCTACTAATATTATTTGAGATTTAAAGAACATATATGTATAACCCTAAAATGACAAGTATGATAATATGCTTAGCTACCTTACGTACATGACGAAAAAAGAAAGGACTGAGCTTTAAGAAAAATGTTACTTAGGGCATAGTCCTTAGTTTAGAATATTTGCTTACTTGTTTACTTCATTATTCTATGCCAATGCTGTTTTTCACATGTGCTACTTTCTATAAACTTCGTATAAAATGGTCCGTTTTACCTATGGGTTTAAGCACTTAAGCCCAATAATCTTGACATTGTATAATATTGATGATCCAAGCCCACCCAATTTAAAGCGGTCAAAAATATACTGAGTAGTTCATTTGTTTCACTATTTTAGTTGGCAGTTGACACATTTTTTTTTTAAGCATATTTGACAAATCTAACAAGAACTACGTGATTATACCATCATCAAAAGAAGTCAAAGTAGTTTATATGAATAACGCCCATAATTAACATGTGTCAATTGAAAAGAAACATAGAAGTACTATGTTAAGTTAGGGAAAAAAAAAGTGTAAAAAATACTTCCTCTGTTTTTTTTATACTTGCAACACTTCTCTTTTCACGCTTGTCGATGCATGATTTCAATTGTTAATATCTTTAATTACTAATATGTAAAAATTATAAACATTTGATATTTAAATACTATAGATCGAGACGAATCTAACAAAATCCCACATGACTATATTTTTGCTTATGTATAAATTATCAAAGCTAGTTCAAGTGAAACACATAAATAGTATAAAAGTCAAACTGTTACAACTAAAAAAAAAACGGAGGAAGTACATCCTCCTAAATTACAATGAATTTGCCCAACAAGAATTTCACATCTATATTTGTAAAACATAATGTAGTTAAATAGATATAAACGATGGAGTATTCCTTTTGTCTCAAAAAGAGGTTCTTGTATAGACTTGTGCGATCTTGAAGACTTAATTTTAGCTATCAATATTTTTAATTACTTCGTAAGTATATATATTAAATCAGAAGAATTTATTACTTGTATATTGTATATATGAGTATTAATGTTTTTTTTTTCAATTTTTTTAAAGTTTGACCAAAAAAGTCAAGAACATTATTTTGGGATGGATAAAATATCCTTTTTGTTCATGATATTGTAAACAATATTGTAGGTAAAAAAAAAGTGATGATAATAGTTCTACCAGTAATGGCTATTTTAGTAACACTAATAATAATACTCCGTATTAAACTTGTATTGGTTGTTGACCCCCATTATTTAGTTTCAGAGTAATGTAAATAAATATGACGTCAATTATCATAGAAGGTTTGTGGTTTAACGAATAAGGTATTTGATTTCTAATCATAGAATTGTGGTTTAATGGATAAGGTATTTGATTTCTAATCAAAGGATTGTGGGATTGAGTCCCACGTTCAGACACTTCGTGTTTAACTTTCTAATTACACGGACTTAATGAGATCATTTGATTTATAGGGGGGGAAAGGATGGTAAAGTGTACCATAATCAATTACCAGTATTTTACAACTAATAATATTTTTATTTTTCTATTCCCTATATAACTTAGTAGTATGACACGGTAAAGAATGAAGTTCTTAGTAGACGCTCCAAAGTAGTACATTGCTATAAAGAATGCTATATGTAATGCAAATCCGAGTTCTAAGCATAAACAAGCATGAAGTTACAAGTTAAGCACATGACCTTGCATGAGCTGAGGCCAAATATGGATCATGCATTGCCTAGACCTTAGCTTGGTGCCAATTTTACAAGTCAGTCCCCAAACCTAGCAACCATAGAACTACTATAGAAGTCCATAGTTTGGTGCCAATTTCGAAACCTAAGCACAAATTGGTGCGTACCCAGTTGAACACCTCGCCGACCCTCTTCCCGCATTTAGACCACTCCAACCTCTTTCTACTTGCCTTGTTGACCCAAACAATTATTATATCTCATAATAAGTGCTTATTACTCCTAATTCCTAGTAATTCATCAACTAATTTTGACCAATACTGTATATCATACACATTAAACGAGGGAATTGAAAATACACATCATAATCTATACACTATAATCAACGTAATCAGTCGGACTCTTACATTAGCACAGGCACAAACTAGTTAGTCCGTAAAACAAAAACAGAGCGGTAATTAAGGAGAAGCAAGAATTAAACAAGAGAGGGTCCGCAACTCGGCATTCATTATTCCCAGCTGTCTCTACCCATGTGACTCTCCCTCCCCTCTTTACATTTCATCCTTTCATAACTTCTCACTTATCTCTTCCAACCTCACTCACTCACTCTCTCTCTCTCCTCCAAACCCCCAAAAAACCCCAAAAATGTCGTCATCTTCCTCAAAACTCCTCCCAATATTCTCTCTCCTCTTCATAATCTCCTACATTACACTCCATTCTACCACCGTAGAAGCTCAGATCCACGACATTGGATTCGACTGGGCTTCATCATCATCTTCCGCAATGTCGTCGGCAATGATGTATTCATCAGGAGGAGAAGACCTCGATCTCGAAGTTGATCTTGATGTTGAAAGTAGGAGATCTCTTTACTGGAAAAGGAAGGTGTACTATATATCGTACGGTGCACTCTCAGCGAATCGTGTCCCTTGTCCGCCTCGCTCTGGTAGGTCTTACTACACTCACAACTGCTTCGCTGCTCATGGCCCTGCTAATCCTTACACTCGTGGTTGCTCTTGCATTACTCGCTGCCGCCGTTAATTAATTCATGGTTAAGATTATTAAGTACTTCATTATTATGATGATTTTGTGTTTATTTTAATTAACTAAATATTAGGGGTTTCATGCTTATGGTTTATTTGGAAAGGCGGTGTCCTTTTCTTTTTATCTCTTGTCGTAAAGTCTCTTTCGTGTGATTATTGTTGTAAGTGTGGGTCCTCATTTTACTGGTTGAGGATTGGCTGAAAAGTTGTATTAATACTTGTATTACTATTATTTTATAAGTATGGTTGAAAAGAAGGGGGAAAAATAATAGTTCTAAGCTTTGTAATAATGTTGTGTAAACTGTTGTGTTACACTTTGATGGAATAATCTTAATCTATCCGGTGAGTAGATTACTCATCTATTGTATTATCGGACAACTGGACCTATGAACGGAGCAAAAGGAGGGGAGTTTTGGAATAGAAGTTTACAATAATGTAGAATGAAGTATGCAATTGGATGTAATCTAATGGGATTCTATTGATTAATTTATGTTATGGAGTACTCCGTATCAGATTGTGGTATCACGCAGACTTTTATAATGACGGTGCTTAATTAATTGCATTAGCAAACATAGTGAAGATTCTTGATTGGAATAGTCCATCATTAGAGAATTATAAGATTAAATTTAATGCACCGATTTGGACATGGAGAAATACAAAGTATAATAGTTGAAAGTTGAAACACATTATTGAAAATTGTCTCTTGCTCTCATTTTTCGCCTAGTTTTTGCATGTGTGATATTCCTTAAGATGTTGGTAGGAAAGCCAAAAGAGATCAACAAAAGATTTACAATAATGATAAATTTCATATTTGATGATTTATTAAATTGAAAGGAGCTTGCGTAACTCCAAAAGCAAATGATGATTATACTCCCTTGGTCCTACTAAAATAGCGCTGTTTGACCATAGCTAAGAAGAAGACATTGAAAAAATGTACTGGTAGAAGTTCTATAAAAATCTACAATTTCATTCTTTAAAAATAATACCACAAATTGCTAATGTGGCAAAATTTAATTGGCCTATATTTAGTATTTTTATTTTCATTTTAAATTATTTTTAATATCTACAATGTATTAAAATCGTATTTTTGTATTCTTTTTAATACATGTATAATTTTTTATAGAAATACATAATTATAAATTATGAAAATCTATTTTTTGTAATATTAAGTAATTTTCAAATTTATAATTGTAATTAAAAATCACAAAGTTATAATTGTTCAACATTGTTCATATTGCTCAAACATCGTTCATCATTGTTCATCAATCATGTCATAGATTAGCCCTCAATTCCCAAAATCAATGTTAGTTGTTGATGAATTGGCAAATCTGGACTAAAATCGGGATAAAAATTCGTAAACAAATTGTGTTTTTTGCAGTTTTGTGAGATGGAAGAATTCCAAGGACATAGACAACTAGATAAGTCTTGGCTAAAAGATGGCTCGATCCCACACGCATAGAGAGAATATATCCCACTCCATGCGGAGTAGGGGAGTCAAACAGGACTGATTTGATCAGCTGTACCATACCAGCATAAGAAAGGCTCTTGTTGATTTTAGGTTTTTGTTCATAAAAAAACCTCAACAACAATCTCAATTATAAGTATTTGCAAAGTGCAAATTCCGCTTTGAATGTTTCGAAAATATGATTTTTATGGACTCAAATTGTGTAAATTTGTCAAAGAACAAGGAGTATCAAGTTTGTATGTAGAAGATGAGTGGTCGCATTTTTTTACCTACCGCAACCCCTAGTTTGATCCGATAAATGTAATTAATTTTTTCGAACTTGTATGTGGGTTAGGTAATGACTTAAACTATGTTTGGTCATTACATAGAAAAACAGTGTTTTTTATATTCTAGTACTATCCTTATAATATTATGGACGTGACAAAATATTATATTATGATATACTTTCTCACACTATACTATAATATACTTGTATATTGTTAGAAAATAAATACTCCATATGTTTCGTAATACTCGCAACAGTGGGGTTAGCTAAAAGTTTTTGGAAAATTATAGGGTTATGACCAAAAGGAGAATTATTTTATATAAAGTATGGTTACTAGAGATATATTTAATTGTTAGTAGATGAAAGAAATGTAGTAATAAAAGGTAGTGTAAGTGAGGTTGATAGAAATAGAAAGTAATTGTAGGTCATTACAAAATAAGGAAATATTACAATTATTATTAAACGGATGAAACGGAAAGTTTTGCGAGTATTATGAAACGATGGGAGTAATGGCTAAACTTTAATGCTTGTTCAATTCATAGAGATGTATATGAACTAAGTCGAGTATTATGTTCATGTTCATTTAACTTAGGCGAATCCATGCACGATCCGAGATTTCATATGAGAACATGAACAAAGCTTCAACCGAGCTTGAACCTGAGTAGATTATTGATCGGCTCTGTTCATTTATACTCGTACTTGTTCAATAAATAATATTATAGATCACATATATTAATCAACATTAGCCCTACTCCAATCCAACTCCAATGGCAAACTAATATTCGAATTAGATTTGTATGTAACATACGTTTTTTTTAATTAGTTACATACTAGTTTGATATTTTTTTTTTAATGATGATGATTGAAATTAGTTTCATATATACATATTTTAAAAATAAGGTATTTTGATATTTCAAATTATTAACTTTTAATAGTAATGGTAAAAACCTACGGTTAAACAACCGTAAAGCTACACCAATTGCAAACAAATTGTCAATTCATCATTTCGTACCATTACCTAATTTTTTTTTTTAAGTAAAATGAACTTCAATATATTAGCTATAAAGACAATAAAGTATTATTTTAAATTCAACAAATCATAATTTAGTTTTACATATCAAGGTAATAACCTTTACCATTATAGGTCATAACCTAAATATATAGTATTACATGAAATTGAAAACTTTAATGCGGTTTTTGAATTTTTTATTATTTTTTTAATAACCCCCTCATTAAAATTTGTTCTAAAAATAAATATCTTCATTTTTGTTTTGTTTTTAAGAAATCCCTTTTACAAATTTGAAATTTAAAGTGGTATTTTAATTGAATTTTTTTGAATTGAAGCCCTCATTGAATTTGTAACTGTTTATTTGATTTGTATACAAAAATAACTTTGCTATATATGTATATGTATATATGGTACAAAAAATCTAATACATATATATGTGTAGGCATAATTATGTAAACAAAAATATAAATTTATGATGTATATAAAAATGGCAAAAAACGTGTTCCTTAACGATAATGAAAAAGATGGGTCCTAAAATTATGGATGTAGATGTATACGGCATGTAATTTAAGAAAGTTATCATTGTCTAATATATATATATATATGGTTCCTATAATCATGCTTAAATTTGATTATTTTTTTTTTATATTTATATTCTCTATAAAATTGCTAAAAAAAGGGGGGGCAAATGTTATTATGGATATGTCAATTTACAAAAAAAGGATTGAAACCATTAAACTATATTAAGATCAATAATAATATTTCAAAACTAAATTTTTCGGTCAAACCTTCACTAATCGTAACAATGTACTTAGATATTTTGATATCATATATATATATATATGTATGTATATATATATATATATATATATATATATATATATATATATATATATATATATATATATATATATATATATATATATAACAAAGCTATATTTGTGTACAAATCATATAAACAGCTAATTAGGAATATACCAAAATTATAAGAACTAATTAATTTATATGCCCAAGATTCAAAAATATTTTTTTTCAAAATATAATAAGATAATAATCCCATAAATCTTTTTTACTAAAGTGATATGATAAGAATTCCATTAATCTTTTTTTTGTTATATGATTAGTGAAAATTTGTGATTTCCACTAAAAATGAAAACCAATTTTTAGGTAATTCATATGTGCCTTGAGCACGAGCAGATTCCAATTAAAACATAAAACTTAATTTTTTAAGTAATGACCAAAACTAATACTAATGAATGCCTTATACACAAGCAGATTCCAACTCCAAATTAAAATTAAATTTTTTAGGTAATGACCTAACTAAATACAAGTAATTACCCAACCACAAACAGATTACAATAATCACAGACCTTGATTATGGATCAAACAGGTTTGCGAAAAAAAAAAAAAAAATTTGAACTCTAAATCGCAGAGCACACCCTCTTTATCCATTCACCCGTTAAAAAAATTGAAAGATCTGTATATTAGATCATCAAAATACACGCTACTAAGGCTATTTTCATCCTCAAAACCATCAAACAACTTGATTTTTGCATAAATCAATATTATTAATTGAACCCTAATTCGAAATTTGAATACGAATCATGGAAACAGATCCGAAAACCAATGCAATCAATCCGATCTTTAGACGGAATTTTGGTCAGAATTCCAAATAGATAATACAAGATTTCGGGGTGGTTAATTAAGATCATGAATGAAGAACAATGATGAATTTTTTATTTTCTAAATTTTAATTATATTTTAATTTTCGAAAAAATGAATTAAAAAAGATGAAAATAAATTTTATAAAACTATAATTACGTGTTCTCTAAAAAATACATGTATTTACATACACTTATTAATTAAGCAACTTGCAAATATTTATTATAAACCACTACACAATGATTAGTAACAATAATACTTTAATTTTTTTTTTTTAAAAGTTAAAAAATATTTTTTATAAAGTACTTTTGAAATATAACTAATTTTTGACCCGTTCGATAAACGGGCTATTTTTATATAAATGTTGTTAAAAATCAAAAGGTACAATTTTAGAATGGTGTATGTTAATATAAATGTTTTTCGAGGAGAATAATAATGTATAGAAATTAAGGAGGTGGAGAAAGATCGAAGAAGTTTAAAAATATATGAAATTGAATATGATTAACAATATTGTAAGTGAATAAAGGAAGACAAAAGGAGTAAGCATGTATGATTATATTAAAGATTGACAAAAAAAAAAAAAAAAAAAAAAAAAAGGAAGGTATTTCAAATGATGACAGGTGGCAAACACAAAACCATGTTTTAAATATTTAAGTATATGTAGATAATCCTTTTTTCGAGTACTAAACGAGGGCTCAAAATGAGTTATAAATGAGTTGTGCGAGCCTTAACGAGTCAAACACATAGTTGTTCGAGCTTGGTTCATTTAGTAAAATAGCTCCAAATTCTTGTTTGTTCATCTATTTTATGAACGAACTTTGACCGAGCTTGTTCACAAGTTGTTCACGAACATTCTGTCTCATTTGCACCCTTAAACCAAACGCACTGCAAAGTAATCATGATAAAATAAAAATTATAGTTGCTTAATGTTAATCTCTCATAAAAAATGTATCACCTAAAATTATTCTTTTGTTTTTTTTTTTTTGAAAGGAAGAACGGGGGAGGGGGAAATCACCTAAAATTATTCTATTTTAATTTAATACTTTATTTTTTTCAGTTATACAAGTTTTTTTTTTTTTGAATGACAAGTCGAGAACATTTTATTAATTGTAATCAAGATCCGCTAAAGCAAGGAGGCTTTGCGGAAAATAGTCAATACAAACATACTCATTACAGCCTCTAGTACCCAATCTAGCAAAACAACGAGCAACAGTATTTTCCGACCTATGAATATGAGAGACATCAAAAAATTCACAAAACTCCCTAGTACAAGAGATATCATCATAGTAAAATAATTAGTATGGAGACATTGCGAATGGCGGCATACAAGATAAAATAATTGTCTTCTCTATATTGAAATTTCAAATTTTATTCATTAAATTGAATTGGTTATAAAATTTAAAATATAATATATGTTTACTAATAAATTTAAAATTTGCATATCAACTTGAAAAATATAAGGAAAAATTGGAAGGAATAATTCGACCTTTGTCTCATCCGCCCAAAATAATCACACCTTTCGATTATTTTTTAATAATCCGACCTTTAATATCAATCTGCTTAAAATGGTCACAACCGGTCATTTAACTTGTTACATGACACGTGTCGACATCTAATTGGTCAAAAAAATAAAAATTAAATAAAAAAAATTAATTTTTTTTTGTAAAAAAATAATTAACTAATACAAAAACCACCCCCACCAGCCCGACAACCCTTCATGGTCGCCCTATACCCACTAGCTCGACCCCCTACCTGCCCCCAAGCGCCGGAGCACTGCGCCGAACTCCTCCCCTGGACCGCCGACCCTCCTCCCCTCCCCCTGACCCAACGAACTACCCTTGAAAACCCCTTCCCCTTTCCCGTCCCCCTTCCTGCCCCCCAACGTCGGAGCGCCGCGCTGAACACCTCCCCCTGGACCGCCGACCCTCCTCCCCTGCCCCGTCTCAATTCTGACCGCGAAAGAGTTTTGTTCTTCGACGGCGATGATAAGAGGTGCGACGCTTATCGAGCTTGTCTATGAGAGCGACGACGACGAATTTGGGCTCGGAGGAGGTGAATGTTGCCTCCATTAGAGGTGGTGGATGAGAAAAAGAGAGATTTAGGGTTCGCCGCCCTCAGGGAAAGGAAGAAGGAGGGTAGCAGCGATGAGGAGGTTGGAGGAAAAGTGGGGCTGGGGGACCGGTGGCTGGGGCTGAGGGCTGCCGATTTCTTTATTTTTTTCAATTCAATTTTTTTAATTATAAATTTTAGATAAATCACGTGGTGACACGTGTACTTTAAAATAAATAAAAAAAATTACTTATTGAATAGGTTACCGGTAAATTGGGATTATTTTAAGTGGATTGATATTAAAAGTTGAATTATTAAAAAATAATTAAAAAGTGGGATTATTTTGGGTGGATGAGGGAAAGATTGGATTATTTCCGGCAATTTTTCCAAAATATAGGGCATTGTTGTTAGCAGTATTACCAATTTACCATATATGCTTTTGGAGTTGGATTGACCAACTTAAAATAAGCTGATAAAATGATGTTGTAAGTATATATTAACATGTTCTGATTGAATTTATATAGGTTCACTTGACCATCTATTGAAAAATAGAAAAAGAAAATCATAAGCCGAGCTTTCTTCATGGAAAATCTACTTCTATTATAAGACCATCTCCATTGCTGAGACTCAACTTTGAGTATTGAAATACAAAATGAGTTGTTTTTTTTACCTCCAATGGTGATACCCAACCCACTTCTCAATTTAGCAACTCATGTAAAGTCTAATTTCTCAATGGTGAAACTCCCCAAAGTATACTAATGTTATTTTCATTTATGGTCCACCATATCCATATTGTAAGTTTTTTTTAAAAAAAAAAATTAAAACTTCAATAAATTACAAAATATTTTATAATATTGATGAGGAGCCCACACTTTTTGTCAAGTGAGACTCAAAGTTGGGTATCTAAACTTAGCAACTTTCTTTTGGAGTTGCTAAGTTTAGATACCAACTTATTGGTATCATTTACAAAAAATACTCTCTCTCTCTCCTAAAAAAAAACTCCTTCAAGTCTCACTGTTGGAGATGGTATAAGTTTTCTTATTTGCAGCTGTAGCATAGCCAAGGTCCAGTATTCCTCTGAATTTGTCGCCCTACCACCTAAAAACATAAAAAATTAATTCGCAAAAACAACGAATCATCAACATCAATTTCACTTAAACTCATACAAGATGCGACAAAAAATAAGCGAAATAAAGAGAAAATTCCGAAGTTACCGAAGCACCACTATGAACAACTTTTCTCTGTGCAATCCCTAGCATTTTTTCCTTCATACTAAAAATCAACACAAAAATTCTTCAATCAATATAATTCGTACCAATTATGTGAATTCGAGAATACAAAAATCGAATTAAATCATCAAAACATGCAAAAATTATGATAAAAATTACAAAAATGAAATTTCATCGAAATAAGCTTAGATTTTAACAAAAATATATAGAAATTAATGAGAAATTGTGTAAGATGATTATGAGATGAAGCGATGAATAAGGAAGTGATATATCTAAGTAGAGTTAGAGAAGAAGAAATTACCCAGTTGTCGGAATTTCAGAAAATTCTGTCGAAGAAAAACGGCGAAGAAGAAGAAAGAAGAAAAGTGGAATGAAAAACGCCGTAGGCGTGGTTTATGAGGAAGGTAATGGTTCGAGGTAGCTTCTTTACAGGCCGAGAGAGTCCAGAGAGACTTTGGAGTGGTTGGGTCGGGTTTGGTCATGGGCCACATGGTTAGTGTAGGTTCGCTAACCGGTGCGGATCGGATCAGGGTGTAGATAAGTTAGAACTGAACTAGAGACGATCAAATGGGCGGTCAGGGCCTAAACATAAAATATTATGCTTGAACCCGTAACAAAAGTGCAGACTTTGCGGGCCAGTGCGCATCGAGTTCGAACTTTAAACTAAAAAATACATTTTCTCATTACCCAAACCAATTCTTATATGGTGGACTCGGGTCCATATTACTCCTACATGCACCCCCACCCCCAACCCCCCTCTTTATTTCCCACATAAATTTTCAGGAGGAAAATAAATAAAAATAAAAGGCAAACACACACTTAGGGCTTGTTTAGTTCACCTTATTTATGTAACACTGCAGTGTTAAATATAGGTTTAGTTTTGAGATTTTGTTCTCCTGTGTATGATCTAGCCTAATTTGAGCTTCCATTAGGTCATTTTTAGGTGTGTTCTCTGGCATAATAAGCATTTTCAGGCCTGCTCAGCCCAATTCCTTTCGTCCAAAATGTAGACCACCTTGCCCGATGCTTTTGTTCAGTTCTTATTTGGACCTTTATCAACCAGACTCAGATTTCAGAGTCGTCTCTCTTGATCAAACTAATAGACATGGCTAATTCTAATAATTTTTCTATAATTTCAGTCTCATTAACACTGACTGTGTCTTCATATGCAAATTGCGTCAAAAACTCAAAGGGTATGCGCAACATGCCTTTGTGCACTGGGCAGAAAATTGGTTTGAACTGTTACCTAATTGCGATATTGATGACATGATAACATGATCCATGCCCTGCTCACGACAATTGAAAGAGACAAAACTAACATCAAGTCCCTAAATTATGTCAAGTACATAAATCCAAAAAAAGAACTAGAAGAGACTCATATATCAATCTCACACCATTCATCAATTGATCTGTAAAAACAGAATGTTCTCTAAGGAGGAGCACGCTGAGCATCACAGGGTCTGACAAAACGAAATTCAAACTAACAGAACTGTATGTATCAAAAACAAATGAATGAAATTTTTAACCAATACATAAAATTCAACAAAATGCTTCTACTTGCATCTAACAAACTATTTGACTCCAATGATATCAGATTGTAAACAAAAAAATAGCATAGCAGAGCTTTTTAAAAATGAAGAAACAAGGCAACTGAACATATTCCCTGCAAAAATATAACTATGAGTAGTTTAGATCGTGCAGTACAGTCATGTAACCAGCAAATATAAGTACTCCACTAAAAGCAAGAAAAATCTATAGTTTGTAGAAATAACACCTCAAAAAACAAACTACTTGATGAGCTACCAGTAACCTACATCAAACCTACGAAGGAAAGTTACTGAGAACAATAAGTTTGATTTTATTCAAATCATCACCAGATATAAGTAACAAAGCTCTGCTAATTATTCAAGCTAGTTGGACTTTTATTGTCGAGTTTGGATGTTTGTTTCTGGCCGTTGACATGACTTTAGTAGCTTGATCCATCATACCGCGTTTCTTATAACCCTTAAAAAGGAGCTGATATGATCCAAGATCAGGCTTAAGTCCTCGGCTCTCCGTAAGTTGTAACATGTCGAAAGCACCCTCCAAATCGCCAGTTAAACAGAGAGATTTGATGAGAGCATTAAAGGCTTTAATTCCAGGAGGCGGGCCTTTGAGTATCATCTCCTCCATCAACTTGTTTGCACCACGGACGGCGTTTTTTCTACACAGACCAGTAACAACAGACGAGAATGCAGCAGCGGATCCCTTGCTGGTGCGAGTATCAGAAGAGAGATCAGCTAGCATATCCACAGCTAAGCATAAGGTTTCATCCTTGTAAGATAGAAGACGAATAAAGTAAAAAAAAACCTCCCCTGGCAAGGGAGGCTGAAGTTATTCCTTAACAGCAAGATAAACAGCATGAGCGAACTTAAGCTGATTAAAACAGCAGAAGAATCGTAACAACCGAGAAACACGACCTTGTTCAACAGGTTGGGTGCGAAGAAGGTCAAACATATTCTGACGAATTCTTTTGGCAAATAGCAGCAGCCCAAGTATAGGATTTTAAATCAGGAACGCAGCCAAACTCTTCAAACATGTCAAGTATCTGAATTGAAGTGAGTCCGTGGTCGGTACGTAGCATAGACGAATAAGAGAAGGCGTTCAACATCCGATTGAGTAGGTGAGCAGTAACAACACCCTCCTTTTTAAAAACAACTCTTCTTCTCAGCATCATATTCCATATAAGGTAAAGGATGTCCTCCCCACCAACCTGACACACATATTCATAAATAATAAAGTGTAATATAACGTAGTCCGGCTTGAAATCCTCTCTACCAAGAACCCATATAAGATACGTTCACAAATTTCATCTTCCACTCATCATCATTAGAAAAAAGTTGTAATTCAACATAATTAGGCGATATTCTTCACTAGATTCCGCAATAGTATCGAAACAACAACCATTGGTCACCATTGATAATAACTTGTTCACTTTCTCCTCATCAGGTGTTTCTAGAAACTTTTTATCATCACTTCTTCAATTCCATTATCATTACTAGTATCATTGGACATAAACCTCCTTTGAATTTGAAAATTGGGCATAAACCACCCTTGAAATATGGAATAATAATAATATGATGATGAATTATTATTAATATTTAGGGCTCTATGAATTCTTACCTGAGACTGAGACATAGTTATGGCCGGATTATCGAAACTAATAATCATTAACTGTTTTGTGTTGAAAAGGATAGATCTGGTTCGCCGCCACATCTTTCTTCTCCACTTAGACCACCCTCAATGGTGAGCAAAAAAAATGTTCACCCACTCTCTCTCTACCCACTTTCTCTCTCAACAAATCAGTTTTGCTCATGAGCAAAATTTTTTTCACATTTTCTCTCCCAATGGTGAGCAAAAAAAAATGTCCACCCACCACTCTCTCTCTCTTATTTTTTGAATACCCCACCATTACTTTCTCTCTCCTACACAACACTTCTTTATTTATTAACTAGTTTAGATCCCGTGTCATGCACGGTTATTGTGAAAGTTATTGTTAATCAGTTTGACAATATTTAACAAAACATCTTACACGTAGCACTAATTACGGTTTTATGAAAATTATTGTTTACACAAAGGAGCAAAATACACCCAAAAGTGTTTCTTGCTCAATTGATAATTAAATGAACAATATTTATCAAAATGAGTAAAAAGTAATTTTGGTATACATTGTACCCAAGTAAATATAAGAATCTCTGTCGCTTTTCTTAATTTAACTTTTGCATAAATTGCATACACCACATTGACTAATGTTTATGATATATACATGAATTTAAATATAGTCATATAGATACTACCGTCTCAATGCATGTGTGGTTTTCATTCAATTACAAAATAGAGGGGTATAATGTTTCATAATTCAAACCTTATTTCACACAATAACAAATAAAAAAAAAAATTAGAACATGCAGGGGAAAAAAATTGGCAAGTGAAAATTGCACTATGAAGTCATACTTGTTTTAATCAAATTAAATATTAGTTCTTGTCATATTTGTTAAAATTAACAATTTAGTTAGCGTTTCCATAATAATAACAGTAAATGGGAAGGGAAAAAAAATATTGAAATAAATTATTTTGGCAAGCAAAATTTGCTCTTTAGTATAAAGTTAATGTTACATAATTAGATAAATATTTAGGTAAATCATAACAATGATAATTTTTCTTGTAGTACAAAATGTCACAAAATATGTTAAATCTGATTACGGAGTATTTTTTTTTTATTTATTTATAGTTGTCAATCTTGTATGTTTAAAGATATGGAATATACTACATCTTTTTTTTAAGTAATTACTATATTAATTAAAATAGTCATTATTTTAGTATAAGATCTTTTTAAAATATGTTTTTTTTTAAAAAATAAGTAAATAAGCACACACTAGGAGATGACACGTGTCATTGCTGATGTGTCTTTTAGTATATAGTTATTGATTTCATTTATATTTTAACAATATTACTCTAAATAAATAAAAACTAGTTTAAATTTGTGTAACTTATTTTTTTTTTATTTTTGTCTTTTTTATCGTTAAAATTTGTCGTAAAATTAAGTACGTTATATGAAATAATTGTAAAAAAAAGCTCAAAATTTCTTAAATATTTTTTTATTTATTTTAAAAGCGGTACAATACAAGAAACCAATTACATTTGCAACGCCATGCGTAATTAAACTTAGGAAATAAAATAAACACAACAATTAAAAAATAACTCGACTGCGTACGGAAAAGTAGGTAGGCCACATAGTACTTGGCCTAAAGTCGTGCTAATTTTTCACTAATTACGTGACCCGTATTGTAACCAAATATGTTCGAATAAATCACATTTCAGAGATAGATGAATTTCTCTATCACGGAGGGAAGCTTTTCGCTGTAGAAATGCGTTAAAGTCAAAGTCGGTAGGTCGGCCTACATTGAATTCAAACGGTGGCGTTGTAGACGTTGATGCTGGTGTTAATTCTTGTTGATCTTCTTCGTAGAAGGCTCTTAGAACTTCGGCTCGAGTGTAGTTGTGGCGCTCATCTTCAACAATCATGTTGTGCATAATGATACATGCTTTCATTATGTCCCGCAGTATGTCCTCATCGTACGCCAGCGACGGTTTTCGTATTATTGCAAATCGATCTTGCAAAACACCGAAAGCTCTTTCAACGTCCTTTCGAGCGGCAGCCTGGTGGTCAGCGAACATTTTATCTTTGGCCAGTTGAGGGAATGTGATACCCTGAACAAAAGTTGCCCACTTCGGATAAATGCCGTCGGCTAAGTAATAAGCCATGTTGTATTCATGGCCGTTAACCGTAAAATTTACCGGAGGAGCTCGACCATGCAGAGCCTCATCGAACACTGGTGAGCGATACAACACATTAAGATCATTACAAGATCCGGAAATACCAAAGAAGGAATGCCATATCCATAAATCCTGATCCGCAACGGCTTCCAGTATTAGCGTTGCTTTCTTGTTCCTACCAGCGTACTGCGCTTTCCCGAAAATTGTTGTCGGAAATTTGGGTTGTTTGGATCCATTAAAAGATTCTGCATTAAAAAACAAAAGATAAATATTTTTACAAACATTAATTTAAAAAACAAATTAAAATGATAACAAATCCAAAAAAATATCAACAACTTTCTTCAATT